GATAGGTGGTGGAAAGAGACTAAAACAAAAAATGGTCTTTCCAAATGCTATGTTGATAAGCCTAATGTAAAGGCCGCAATAGCTGCAACCTCTTAGCTAAAGCACGCCTCAAATAAGCGAACAATCTGATCTTGACCTCTTGTATTGATATTCCTTCTTTCACAGACTCTTGCTTCCTTTCTTCATGCCTTTGAGACTGAACTTGCTTTGATATTTGTGCTTCAGAATGGCCTTGTACATCCAAAGAAAGGCACACTGTATAGTCATCTCAGTTTAATAAAATTTCGTAGACGTGTAGAAGGTCTGTTACATAGTGGCGGCTACTGCTAGCTAAAAAGCAAATGACTCTGAGTATAGAACTCTGTCCTAATATAAGGACAAAGAGTAGAAGAGACTTGATGGGCGACCACATCCAAACCCCTACTCCTGCAGACCACCACATCTTACAAGAACTGCAAGTTTATGGAACTTCATTTTGAAACCTGTGGGTGAATTTTCCCCTTTTACTGTTCAAAATGTGTTTCAGACACTCATCCTATGATGGCTGAAAACTTCACTGTAACTTTCCTGTTCTAACTTTGTGGGTAGTTTACTTCCATCTACTAAATGTCTGTTTATTTTCCCTCCCTGAGATTCTCCGCTTTATTGTTAGAAACAGTGGTGACTCCTCTCAGTTTTGTTTTAACTAAGGCACACTTTTTAGCTTCCTTTTGTAAGAATTGGTCTCTGATGCATGATCATTCCTTTTAGCACCTTTGGGTGCAATCTCTTCCAGGTTGAATTCTTGAGGAAGTATGAGGAAGTAGAACTTTAGCTGATATTCCAGATGGTATCTCTACAGTGTCTTGTACATGGGATCTGTACCTTTACTGGATGCACCTCTACTGATACACGCTTAGTTGTGCGTGCCGTTTTCGTAGCTGCATCGTATCATTAAGTTGTAGTCATCCCATGAGGACAGACATCTTGAGATTCAAGGGTTTTTTTTCCTCCTGTCCTTTCTGAGTCATGAGTTCATCTGTCCCATTTATGGCATTTTGTTTTACTTTAATTTTCTGAGTTTCATTATTTTGAGCTGCTTAATCGCATTTGTAATTTTAGACTTTACTGTCAAATAAGTTATTTCTGAAAAACAGTATGATGTCTTCCACGTTCCCATAGTTTCTCACCTTCTATCTTAATCATCAAATAGCATGAGTTTATTTTTTGGACCCTCACTACTACCTGGAGAGTGTTAAATAAAATTAGCTGCTAGTGTAATTCTCAAGAAATTGTTAGAACTCTGCAACGACCTTCCATTCTCTTCACTAGTTCACTTTTCAGAAGAGTGTATTGTTCTCTTAGCCATTTTAAAGTTATTGTATAATGTTCTTCAACCAGCCAGTGATTTCAGACGTGGTGTTGTAGCAAGTTTTAAGGCCAGATAAATTAGATGTTACATTTTTCTTTGAAAATGGATTCTCTTCAAAGGGACAAACGAGATGAGTCTGGTAAACTTATACACAGATCTGTCCCATATATCTTTTAGGAGGGCGATATTTTTGTATTGCTCTAAAAGTACATGTAGAACTTCAGAATAAGTGCCTATGGCTATTCAGATCACTATTTTTGTTCTCATAGGTATCTGTGTTCTGTTTTCTAGAGATACATGTTACTGATAGGATACGCTTATTGTGAAACTCTAGAATAGGAGTAAGAATTTTTATATGCCAATTTTGTCATAATTCTGAAGCAGAAATGTAGTGAACTCTTGCCTTTCACAACATGAAGCTCATGTTTGTTTTCCCTTGGAAGCAAAAAATTTTGTTTCCATGCCATCATTCACGAGCCACTCTGTTCTTGACCTGTGGGCACCATTGCCCTTATCAAAAATGGAGGCAAAACTTTAATTTAGGTTTCGTTCATCTTGAATATCTTCAGTCTCCTACTTTTTTATTTTTTGTGTGGCAAAACCATGTACTTACTGATGTTTTGGTTTGGGGTTTTTTGACTTTATTTGGAGGGGGAGGTTGCTTTTGAAAGCCTGAATCACATAGACTTTTGACAATTCTTTATTTTCTTGCCACCTTTCCTGATTTTTTGCAGACCAATTCCTCTTCTTATCAATACTGTTTCTTCCTAATAATTTAAAATTCTTATTCATCTTGGAGTCTTCTTCTCTAACATAAAAGATTTTTTCATGACTTGAGATTCAAGATATAAATGTAATGTTCTGCTATAGTTTGAAGGAATCTGTGCCTTCTCTGCATTCAAAATCTTGAGATTTTACTGCTCATTCACTTGGGTTTCCTTTATTTGCCCTTTCAAAATCAAAAACTTTAATTACAGTTAATTGTTTATTCAATCATTTAAATTGAAGGTCCTTACTGCTACTCAAAACGGAATCTAAAATAATATTGTTAAATCATTGGGAGTTCAAAAAGTCATCCAGATTGCTTCCCTTCCTCACAAGAGGTTCACTACCATTGTTTGTCTAGCCTCCTTTTTAAAGATAGGCTAAGTCCAAAACCTCCTCCTCTTCTACAGCTTTTCAGATTTTACAGCCAGTGTGTTCTGGTGCTTCACAAAACTTACCAGTAGAGAGCTTGTCTTAATTTCTAAGCTGAATTTTGCTTTCTGAAGCTTATATCTACCATGGATGATGGACTACTTTCTTCATCGTGGAGTGTTTTACATTTAAAACCAGCCTGTTATCTTCTAAACCTTCTTTCAACTACAAGCGTGCATTTGGGGGAAGGGAGAGAGGGCGTTCCCCTTGTCTGCCAGTTGTTTTATAGACATTTTGATAATTTTCACTATGCTCCCTCTACCTCATCTTCATCCTTCTTGATGTAGACTAGACTTGGCATTACAGGTGAGGTCCTTCCAGAGTGGAAAACAGCAGAAAGATTAATTAGCATGTTTTGTAGGCTATTCTTCTGTTTTTTCGTATCAGTATGATTTTTACAATGTTTGCAAGAACACTGTTCACTCTTGTTCAACTTGTGATCTAACGTAATCCTTACATGCTATTCACAGCTGTTTCTAACCAGTTTTCCCCATTCTGTATTCGTGTAGTTGATATATTTATACAAATGGACAGTAGTTTTGCACTTTTCTCTGTTAAATAACAGTTTAACAGGGGGAGGAAAGTTTCAAATAGATTTCCAGTTTCTCAAATTCATTTTAAAAATGAATCTGGTCCTCTAGCACACTTACAGTTCTTCCCAGTTTTATATCATCTACAAAATGTGAGTTGCAATTCAATTTGGGAATGCACTGCATTCCTTACTTCAGATTCTTACCAAAAATATTGATTAGTGCCCTGACACATACTGATGCAACTTCACTGAAGACATCCTTTCATTTTGGCCCTGGGCTATTGATGATCAATATAGTTTTCTAAGCAAAGCTGGCCATGTTTGCCTAGTAGGCTATGAAAATGTAAGAACAGAAGTTCTTATATTGGACCAGACCAAAGTCCATCTAGCCCTGTTCCTTATCTCTGGCCAGAAGTAGGTGTCAAAGGAAGAACACAAGAACAGTGCAAACATGCATGATGCTTTACCCAAAGACCTCCCGAACGTTTAAGCATTTCCATCTTAATGACTTTCTCAGCTGGATATGATATTTAGTAACCTGCAGAGGTTTTATCTTCCACAAATTCATCCAAACTCCCATTGAGCTCATGAGTATCCATTTGGTGGGTATCAGGAGCTTTCTCAGATCCAACACCTGTTGCATGAAGGACCACATGCTTTTGTTTTAAACCCACTGACTACTGTCTGCCTTTGTGGTCTATTGGTTCTTGTACTGGAAGATAGAACAACAGTGGATC